GTTGAATTTCAATCGTTCGCAAGGAAAGCAAATATTAGCATGTATCCTTAACTATGGTATATCAAAAAAACCAGCTATGGCACTAAAAATATTATTTACTTTTACGAAAAGAAAAGATATATATATCATATATGATTATCAACTAAAGTTAATTTAGAATTAAAGATAATATAAACTACTAAAGCTATTCTGTTTGATTTTTGGATGAAAGATTTCTATTGTGTATTTGGTTGACTGCGATATAGTTTGGCATATATACCATTTTTCGCAATTAGCTGTGGATGATTTCCGTGTTCAACGATACGTCCACTTTGTATAACACATATAAGATCTGCATTCTGCACAGTGGCCAATCGATGTGCAATTACTATACATGTTCTACCAGCACAAGCCTCATCCAGTGCAGTTTGTACAACCTAAAGTAAAGAGAGATAAAAGGATTTATAAATTAAATTGATTGAAAATGTTTTCTCTGTTTAAAACTTACTCTTTCGCTTTGCAAATCGAGCGCTGAAGTCGCTTCATCTAATAGCAATATTTTCGGATTTCTTACTAAGGCGCGAGCAATAGCTATGCGTTGTTTTTGTCCACCAGATAGTTGCGTACCCTTTGAACCTAGACATGTGTCATAACCTGAAGGAAGTGCTGTAATAAAATCATGAGCATTTGCCATTTTAGCAGCAGCAATGATTTGTGTCATAGGCACCACGCGAGTTGTGTCGCCATAACCTGTGGGAGAGCATTCGTAAGTTATAGAAAGAAACCGAAGTCATTACATTGTTTGTCTTACCAATATTTTCTGCTATTGTCTTTTCAAAAAGTGATGGTTCTTGTGATACTATACCTAAACGACGACGTAGAGTTGGCAGCTCCATGTCCTGGTGTATGTCTTCCTGATCAATTAGCTATCATATTTTTTTTTTTGAAATTCGTGTTTAAGAAGGAACTGATCTATTTTTTTATGTAACGTGTAATTCAAAACTTACAATCTTTCCACTGATAGGATCGTAAAAACGTTGAAGCAGTTGTACACAAGTTGATTTGCCTGACCCCGAAGAACCTACTAAGGCAATTGTTTTTCCTTGCAATACATCTAGGTTAAAATTTTTTAAGACTTTCTGATCTGGACGTGTTGGATAGCTGAAGTTAATGTCACGATAGCTCACACCCTGTTGCACAACATTTGTTTTGGAAATCACAACACCATTGGATTTTGCGCCAAATATATCAGGTGACTGAATTGATGGTTCACGATCGATGATTTGATACAGACGACTTGCCGATATGAGAGCAGCATTAAACGCTGGTGTAAAAGCAAGTGATTGTGCAAGTATGAACAAACCGTACAACATAGTATTAGCAATTCTACATAAAGTAATATCTTAATGTCAACGACAACAGATAAGGTTGTTAGTACTTACTTCATAATATCTTCGAATTTAATTTTGCCTTCAGCATTCATAATGCCACCGTAAGTTAAGGTGACAGCATATCCAAAGAACATTATAGCCATTCCTAATGAATTAACCAAGCCACGAAAACGTAGACGTCTTTTAATTTGCATTTCATATCGATCTATTTCCTTATCGTATTCTGCTATGACGCCCGGTTCTCTGCGCAAAGCTGCAACTGTTCGTATTTGAGCTATGGTTTCGGTAGCAATACGGCTAGTCTCTTCTAACACAACTTTTTCTTTTAAAGCAGATTTATTTGCAAATCTTGAAACAATTAAGCATGCATTGAAAAGTTTAAAGAATTTCTATTAAATGATTACCTACTTAGCTTCAAAGACTATAGCAGCGACCATAAATGGTGCTGTACAAAGGCAAATTAGTGCCAGTTCCCATGAGTAGGCAAATGCTATGGAAAAACTACAAATGAAATTGGTTAACGCTTGTATTATATTGCTGAGGGGAAATCCAATTGCGCCTTGTACACTTGAGGCATCACCAGAGAGACGCGCAGAAAGTGCACCTACACTATTCTCTTTTTCATCAAACCAAGCCATATCTTGACGCATAAAAGAACGAAACGTTTCAGATCTAAGAATGAATACAATATATAATCTTTAAACGCAGTTTTTAACAGATAATATTAACCTCATGCGTGTAGTCAACCATACACCCGCCAAGTTGAAGAAGTATGTTTGAGTAAAGCATACCACGCATGCCGATAGACCCACTACAACACTAATGATGGACATCGTGGAAGTATGTTTAAGTACATCTTCTGGATCTGGTTCGGCTAATGAGGCGTATAACTCTGCTAAAACTAAAGAAAATGCTGGCTGTGCGCAACCATAAAGTCCAGCACATATTGTGCCTAAAGCAAGAAAGCTCCATTCAGGTTTAGTAGAAAGTAGAATGCGAAAAAAAGTTTTAGTAAAATTGGTGGTTTCTTCCTTTTCTGTTAAATTTTCATCGTTTTTCGCTTTCTTATTTGAAAAGTATTTAATTACATTTTTATCAATAGATGATTCTGAAAATCTGGGGTCTAGCATAGAATTTTTTTGTTTTACTAAGTCTTCTGATAGTTTTCGATCTTTCATCAGTTCCAAATTAATTTCACTCTCCATATCGGTAATTGTGTCTTCTGCATTTCCAGTGTATTCATGTGCTGATACCATATCATAGTATTTTCCGGCACGCTGCATTAGTTCGTCATGGGTGCCCTGTTCTAAAATTTTACCATCACTGATAAAGATAATGCGATCTGCGTGACAAATGGCAGAAAGCCTATGAGATACGACAATTGTGGTACGTCCTTTGCTGGCGCGATCTAAAGCGCTTTGCACTAGTTTTTCAGAATGATAGTCCAATGCTGATGTTGCTTCGTCAAGAAGTAAAATTTTTGGTTTTTGTATAAGTGCTCGAGCAATCGCGATTCGTTGGCGCTGTCCACCAGAAAGCTGAACTCCCTTTTCACTTATAATAGTGTTATAACTCTATTTTAACAAAATGTGTTTAAAAAAATGCAATCATATAATAATTATATATTAATATTCATCAATAAATACGTTGATAATAAGTGTCAAATGTTAATTCTAAAATAATTTATTTTAAATTTACAACTTACGTCCGGTAAGCCGATTATAAAATCATGAGCATTAGCCGCTCGTGACGCATCTTCAACTTCTTTTTGTGTGGCATCAGGTTTGCCATGGCGTATGTTCTCACCTATTAACAGAATAAACGTAATGCTCATGTATAGAGCTGGAAATTATCATTCATTACCTATCGTTCCCTGAAAGAGTACTGGTTCTTGACCAACTACTGCCATATTGGATCTAAGCCAAGATACATTGTATTTCTTTATATCTTCATTATCCAATAATATTTTACCAAATATGGGGTCATAAAATCTTTGTAGCAATTGAACACAAGTTGATTTTCCAGACCCTGAATATCCCACCAATGCTACCGTTTCTCCTTCTTTAATCGATAAATTAAAACCTCGTAACACTATAGCATCTTCTCGAGATGGATAGCGAAAGAACACATCTTGAAATTCAATATTGCCTTTAAGGCCATAATTCAAAATTTTTCCATCCTTTGACATTGGATCAATTTTAGGTGTTGAGTCCATTACTTCAAAAATGGCAACAGCTGAACCACGCGCCATAGCAAATGTCTCCAAAAAAGGTGTGGTACGTGAAATATGATCAGCACCAACAATAATACCAGAAATAACCTAATAAAGGTAATAAAAAATAAAAACTTAAGTTTTATATGATATTAAATAACATCGATAACCTTACAATCATTAATACAGCAGGTGTGTAATCTTTGTCTTCTGCATTCTTCTCACGGTCGTCCAATATAAGATGTGCACCATACCAAAATGAAGCTGCACTTGCAATAAAGAGCATAGCTTTTAATATGGAATCACTTAAGCCAGACCAGGCACCTTTTAGTTGACCTGCTTTACGTGCAGGTACCAGACGTTGTTCGTAGCGTTGTGCTTCGACTTTTTCCCCACCAAATGCTACCACTGTGCGTATTGCGCCAATTACTTCTTCTACAATAGAACTAGCAATAGCATATGAGTCCTGTTCTCGTGTAGTCAATTTACTTTGGTACTGTGTGAGACATCACATAGTTTATTATATAATTAA